AAGGAACGCCCTTCCCTTTTTTTTTTTTTTTTCTTTAAAAGCAGCACTGGACAATGTACAGCTGTAGTTGACTGAAATTCAGGTCCATTGGCACCTACTGTCCTTGTGTGTTGGGGTGTAATTCTAAATGAATAGTAGCACAATGAGCTGCAAAGTGGTAAAATTGCATGCAACTTACATGGAGAGTGTTTGTCTTTAACCACTCGCTTAACCCCTTCCTGGCCCGGCCATTTTTCAGTATTCAGCGCTGCATTACTTTGACATTTGTTCTGTCATGGAATGCTGTACTGAAATGAATTTTATACCATTTTTGGGGGACACACAGAGCTTTCTTTTGGTGGTATTTAATCACCACTGGGGTTTTTATTTTTTACTACATCATGAAAAAAGTTCCAAAACTTTTGAAAAAACAATCTGTTTTCCCTAGTTTATGTTATAATTCATTTATTATTACCCAATTTTTGGTAAAATATTAAAAATAGGGCCACGTCAGGTAAGTAGACACCAAACATATCAAACACTAAAATTGCGTGCACCAACAAGATCGCAAAAAATGACAATGCCTAAAATTGTCCATAGGTGACGCTTTAAAAGCTTTTACCGCTCATCAGTTTAGTGTTATCAGTGATTGATGGCCCTAAAATTATTGCTCACACTCCCACGTTTGCAATGATATGTAACATATGTGGCGCAATGGTTGTTTTCGCACGTAGGCGCACCCGACGTGTATTTACATTTCTATGTGCGTGCACACAGGGGCGGGGGACTTACATTTTTTTATGTGTTTTTTATTTTTTTTAATATGAGACTTTAATTTTTTTAAAACTCTTTGCTATCACATGGGGGACTAACAAGTCCCCTATGTGATAGTTAATATACTGTACAATGACAGATACTCTTTATGGAGAAATCAGGGTTCTCCAATGACCCCTAATGACCCCCAAAGAAGCTGATGAAGCAGAGATCAGCTTCACCAGCTTCTTCTCTGGCTATAGCAGCCAGAGAAATGACAGCTAAAGGCGGACGTTATGTAATACACATCGCTCCCACCTTTAAAAAGAAAGGAGGAGAGATCAGCGGTGGGGGGAATGCAGATCTCTCATCTGATCTTAGCACAGACAGCTTCTGTGCTGGCCCCGGGCCCCCAGGGGGGGCAGCGGAGCCTGGGATTACCGGCAGTGGCGGCAGAGGGGGGGAGCATGGCAGTGGGAGGGATTGCGGCAATGGAGGGGGAGGCGCACACTGCATGTAGCCATAAAAGTAATTGGCCGGCTATAGAGCCGGCCAAACGCTTGTATGTAACAGCCAGTTGCAGCTGTTTAGCCTCCCAGCAGGATTCTGCTCGCACACGCCCACTAGGGGGCGCAGCGAGCAGACAAAAAAATAACTGTATTCAATGAGTGGATTAAACAGCTATGTCTGCCTGAGCCTGTCATTACCTTCAAAAACCTTTTTTTCCTGAGGTCCTCTGACTGGTCCTTCATTGGACCATATTGCACACCAACAGAAAACTGCGACCAGCAGGTGACCAGGTGGAGAGAGTATCCTTTTTGTATGACAGAGAATGTCAGCGGCACACTGAATTTCTCGGAACACCTCTTTCATTGATTGGAATACCTTACGTCTTAAATCCTTATTTGCAATACATCATAATATATCTTCCTTCAATGACCTTGGTTATTCAAGTCATGTGTTCCGTTGCGATACGGCTATATAAAATGTTGTGTGCGTGTTTTGTTTTTTTTTCTTCCTTATTTGTCATAAAATAAAACAGGTGCATTTCTGGCAGGCAGCAAAATACACATTACATACATGATGCTGAAATACATACATGTGAACTGTTTTACCTTTCAAAGGATTTTTAGTTCTGTCCTACCAGACAGCACAGCGAAGTATGGGAACTTCCACTGCAGCTAAAACACGATACCAGTGGTTCTCAACCTTTCTAGGGCCGGGACCCCTTGGTAACATTTGCCAAGTTGTGGTGACCCCCAACGGTAAAATTTAGGGATGACGCGGCTGCTGCAGCGACATCTAGCGGTGTGGCGGGAGAACTGACACTGCTGCGCTAGGAGAGGGCTGAGGAGTACTCTCACCCAGCACAGCAGAAATCACACAGCAACCCGCAGCTTGAGAACCACTGTTCTACTTGCTTTTTGAAGCTAAAATACCCTTCCTAGAACAACAACAGCAGACTCCTGACATTACCTGCGTAGAGAGTAGAAAGCACAATCTTTTTGGTAGCTGCAGTGTGGATATAACCGTGTATGAACGCCCAGGGCCGGATTTACTCTCCCTGCTGCTCCAAGGCCAGGTTCCGCAATGCGCCCCTCTCCCTGCTAACCCCCCCCCAACCCCCCATCAATGGAGAATGGCAACCAGATGGCAGGGTGGCAGGGTTAGTTTTA